TTAGCTCTGCAAACCAAATTTTATCCGTGACGATGAAATAATTTCACCGACAGTGCATCGATTCCCTTTGTCAGCCGGACCTTTAACCGTGCCTGACGGCCACTAGTATCCCCCCCCCCCCCCCCTTGCAGACCGTATGGGGGCGCAAATATTCCCGCGTTATCACTCAAGCGTTTCCATTGACGGCCGTGGCGTGCCGTTGCTATATATAGACTGTTCTGGCCGGACCGCGGGCCGCGGGCCGGGCGTCGGGGCGATAGGTACGTGCCGTGTCGAGTCCAATACAGTGCTGCGCTGCGGGTTTGCCTACTCTAGGGGCCACGGCCCCTGACGGGTGGAGCGAGTAGGCAAACCCGCAGCACTGCTGTGCATTGGACTCGACACACGGCCGGCACACTTTACCGACTAAGTGTTATGCCCAATTTAGTACATACACTCTAAATGTCGAAGGACATTATGTGTAACGAGCACCGAACTGCCTTTCGTCGACTGTGCAAGCACACATGGTGCCTGATGTGTAGGCAACATCTTGCTTTCGGTGCGTGCGTGTACGACGGGCTGGCCTACCCTCAACCTCACAGGCGCCGAGCTCCCGTACTGTGCCCAATGAATATGAGAAAATCGGGTGTACTCTTTGTGAACCCATTGTTCGAAAGCCGCTTCTGTCCTCCTGGACGAGAGGATGGGGAGTTGCCATGTTGTCCAGCCCGCCCCTTTGACGGGAGGGAGCGAGCGGGCTCCCCTACAGCGCCCCCCTTGGGAGTGCGAGCGTGTGGGGAGAGGGGGGGGGGCGGTGGCGCGGCCCCGGAGCCCAGCGCTAGCGCCGGACAGTCGAGTCGCGAGCCCCGCTGCAACGGGCGCCCCCGGCCAGCGCAGCTAGCGCCCCCCGGGTAGAGCTAGCGGCCGCGGGCCAGGCGCCGAAGAACTGGACTCCACGGCCCGCGCGGCAGGTGAGTGTCCCGCCACCATGGTGCACGCCCTGTGTCCGCGGGAGGGCGACAGCCGACGTCGAGGTGCTGTGCTAGCCGGGCCCGGGCGCTGTCGTTTGACCCGTGCGAAGTGACTGCACAAGTTAACGTTACACACTAAATGGGATAGGTCAATAATTTTGTTCCGGGGAAATGTGATTCTTCTGCAATATAGGGTTTGTATGTGCCCCAGCAAACTTCTTTATCCTAATCTCCAATGAGGGTTTAGCCGGCCTTTCCCATAAAACCTGTCACTCATCACCCACCATTTCAGATTTTCGCAAGCCTCGACACAACCCGGGTGTGCTTTAGAGTCAATATTGCATATTGCATCACACCTAAGGAAACCCAGAGTGTCGGGTTGGGTCAGCCCAACCCCAGCACCCTCAATTTCTTCCACGACCTTTTTCATAATATGCGTTTCAAGGTGTCCAGGGGAGACAACATTTCTCCTCTCTTTCTGTTGACACGGAGGGCAATAGGCTTCCCTAGAAGCAACGTATAAACGTGTCTGTACCCTATGGACTACAACGTTAAACATTATAGTTGTGCATGCCCGTTAGTGAATCAGAAGAGAAATCTGTGAAACGTGCACGCCAAATTAATCCACAGAGGGTGGAGCGTGCACGAAAAGGTCGTCTCCAAATCAGCGGCAAATGCGGCATAAACACTGCGGGTGCTGCCCCATCCCCCC